ATCCATCTATGGCAGTGGTTCTCAACAGTTTGGGGCTTCAGGGACTCCTCAGGAAGTGCCAGCTCTTCATTTTCACTGCAGTTTTGATTATGAGAAAATACTAAAGCAATTCTTTTGTTGCAACAAACTCAGAAAGACCGCGACAAGTCAGAATGCTGTTAACACGGGGGCTTCCTAGTGGAAATCCTGCACTCGCTGGAGTCAGGGGCTAAGCTCCCTTTTCTTCAACATGAAAGCTCAGGGTCAAATGAATGCACAAAACAGAGGCAAGTATTTACACAGGTCAGCTCTTTTAGCTCCTTTGGCCTCAAGCAGATATGAAAATATTTTTTGCATGGGAAAAAGGGTCAGACAAAGAGATACAGGTCTTATCCTACATGCCAGATCTGGAGTCCTGTGTGCAGTTTTGGGCCCCCACTATAGAAAGGATGTGAACACATTGGAAAGAGTCCAGCAGAGGGAAATGAAAATGGTTGGGGGATGTGGGACAGGACTGGTGAGGAGAGGCTGAGGGAACTGGGCTGGTTTAGCCTGCAGAAGAGAAGACCGAGGGGGATTGAATAGCAGCCTCCAACTCCCTGCAGGGGGTTGCAAAGAGGATGGAGCTGGACTGATCTCAGTGGGGGCAGATGACAGGACAAGGAGCAATGGGCTCAAGCTGCAGCAAGGCAAGTTGAGGTTGGATATTAAAGAAACCTTTCTCACTAGGAGGGTGGTGAAGCACTGGGACAGGTTACCCAGGGAGGTGGTGGTGTCTCCATCCTTGGAGGTGGTTGAGACCAGACTAGACAAAGCCTTGGCTGGGATGATGTAGTTGGGGCTGGTCCTGCTTGGAGCAGGGGGTTGGACTAGATGTCACCTCCCAAGGTCCCTTCTAGCCCTCCTTTTCCCCAATTCTATGATTCCCCTATACTAGCACTAAAGCTGCCGTCGCGGTGTGTTATCAGCTGTTGCGTGCTGCCAGGTGCAACAGGAGCAGTGACAGTGTTACCGATCAAAACAAGCTTCAGGAAACAGTGGCTACTAATCACCATCAGGTTTTTAATAATTGCACCTACTGGACTTCCACGTCCGCTCTGCCATCTACCACCTGCCTCATTCTCCTTTTCAGACATTTAGCAACTGCAAAATCCACTCTCTCTCATGCATTTTCTCAACGAAAGCCAGGAAAAAGCTCATAGAAAATTCTTGGTTCCACAAGCTTGTTTTAAGCATGGAAGCAAATGTAATCAAATGCACAAATGAATCTAAATACCTTTGCCAGGCTTTTCTAGCTCAGAGTACAAGACTCTGCCTTCTTCCTTCACTGTCTTCTGCAGCCTCCCAGTTCTGCACTGTCCCCTACAGACAGCTGGCACAATAATATGCTTGACGTGAACTGAAATGGTGTCTCTTCATAAAATGGTCTCAGTTTAGCTCTGTATTGAGTTTCTGTGTGGAAAGAGAAAGAAAGATGCATCCGTTTAATTCTGTAGCAGTGTCACGTGGGCTGGAGGAGGGGAGGCAGAGAGGAGACACATGCCTTCACCAACAAAAAGCTGCCTGAGAAGCAAAGAGCCTTCAGGAAGTGTAACGAGAACTGGGGTTTTGGTTCTTCATTTTGGTTTCATGCCTCCCATTCCTGGAAGAGCTGCACATTGTGTATCATTTGGTTACCTTATACACATAGTCTGGCTTCAGCTTGTACATGCAGTCCACGGATCGGTCACAGCTCACGAGGACGACAGGGGTCAATGCCGTAGCAAAGCCTCAGCGTGAGCAGTGTATGCACTAATCGGTGCTTGGACTAACCAGGTCTCCAGCGAGACCCCCAAATGCTTCTCATCTTTATGGAGACCAAAGTAAAGTGCGGGTTTTCTCCAGGATCCCTGCGCTCCCTTTGGCACGGCAGTTCCTGAAGCACTTGAACATCTCCCAGGGAAAAGCCAAACGAGGGAACATCACAGCTGCACACTAATGGACTGGGAATCACGTTAGGGAGCTTCTGATGCAGCGAAGGGTATGGACTGCTGCACTCAGCCTGGACCTCGCTATCTTCCATCTCTCTGGTTTCCTGTTATTTCTTAGCTGGGGGTGGGAGGGTTTCCATTTCCTCCCCTATCTTTACAGCCCCTTCTCTTTCTTTTAACTGTTATTTCTTCAGACTCCTGGTGCATTGATAGTCTAAAAGGAGAAGTGGATTAGACTGCTGATTTATGGCTGTTATTCATGGATGTGGGCTTCTGCTGAGGCTTTCCAATGTGCTCTCAGGGTGTGCATGCCCAGAGGCTGATTCCCAGCTGTGCCATAGCGAAGCATGAAAGAGACCTAGCATGGGCTGGGACCCTGGCCCACTATTTTGTTCAGGGGGGATGGAGCAGGCCTCACGGTCCAGTGCAGGGGGTGTTCAGTGAGGGAGTCCTGGGAGAAAGATTTTCTAAGCTATCACCATGCAAGGTTACACAAGGAGCAAGGTTACCTTGCTCTCATCCTCCTGGTCCCATGTACCTCCCGGTCTGGGCTGCCCAGGGGCCAGCTCAGCTTGTCAGTAGCTTGTTGGAGGATGACAAACACTAGCAGAGGCGAGGATTTCTTTGGAGGTATCATACATTGGACCAGCTGCAGAGCTGGGATAGAGTTCAACAAACTTTTACACGTTCTTCTTCAGCTCTGCTTCTCCATGCACGGTGCATTTCCCACCCCAGGGTGCAATGCGGCTCTTGGAAAGTCCTATCTGGTGCTTCAACCGCTCATGCTGGTTCTTGCTGTTCACAGTTAAGCAGCAGAGACTTCAGTTTCATGCTGAACACACTTATCTTCTGCTGCCCTTCTGCACACCCCCCTCCCCTTCCTGTAGCATTCAGAGCAGCGCATGTAGCAAAGATTAGTGGCTGTTCGGTAGCAGCAGCCCAGCCCCTGTCTGTATGTGGATGGGAGTTTCCACCACAACATCATTATCTCTATTTTTTTTTCCGTTTTCATCCAGTTTAATCAAGGGTTCGTGTAAAGCTGTTGTTAAAAAGGAGAAGTAAAAGGATAAGTCAGAAGAGCCTTGTGATTTCTGTGCAAGGCAAGCTGCTTGGAGCATGAGGAGGGAACTGGAAACACCTGAGAAGCTGAAGGTGAAGCACTGATCTGATCTCCCGGCTGGAGCAGCTCCCTAAAGGTAGCCTGAGGAAGGGGAGAGGGATTGTGGGGCAGAGGCAATGTATTGAACTGGCTAGAAAGCCAAATTGGATGAAAGTAGAGCTGCATAACCAGGACTGTTTTGGGTCCCCACTACAGAAATTGGAGAGAGTCCAGCTGAGGGGAATGAAAAGGGTTAGGGGTCTGGGGCACAGGACTTGTGAGAAGAAGCTGAGGGAGCTGAGTGTATTGAGCCTGGAGATGGAGAAGACTGAGGGGGGATTTAATAGCAACCTTCAGCTTCCTGAAGGGGGGGTTGCAAAGAGGATGGACAATTCAGGTGGGAAGGGAGCTCAGGAGGCCACATCTAGTCCAGCTCCCTGCTCCAAGCTGGACCAGCCCCAACTCCATCATCCCAGACAAGGCTTTGTCTAGCCGGGTCTTCAACACCTGCAAGGATGGAGATCCCACCACCTCTCTGGGTAACCTCTTCCAGTGCTTCACCACCCTCCTTGGAAGAAAGTTTTTCCTAATATCCAACCTCAACTTGCCTTGCTGCAGCTTGAGCCCCTTGCTCCTTGTCCTGCCATCTGCCCCCACTGAGAACAGTCCAGCTCCATCCCCTTTGCAGCCTCCCTGCAGGGAGGTGAAGGCTGCTATTCAATCCCCCTCGGTCTTCTCTTCTGAAGACCAAATCAGTCCATTCCCCTCATCCTCTCCTCACTAGTCCTGTCCCCCAGCTCCACAACCATTGTCATTGCCCTCTACTAGGCTCTCTTCAATGTGTCCACATCCTTTCTGTAGCACGGGGAGCTCAAAACTGAAAGAATTAATCGCATTTCTTTTCCAAACTTTTTTCATGGGTCACGATTTCTAGACTTCTACTAGTTTGTGTTGCTCTTTGTTGGGACCTTTACTTTTTCACCTCATCCTTCTTGAAATAAAGTGACTGGAACTGGATGTAGTTCTTAGGAGAGTCCTCAGCTGTACTGCCAATGGATTTAATGCAAACTGTAAAAATATCAAAACAGGGTACTTTTAGTCTGGAAGTAATGAGACCATACAGAGACCTGCAAAGAAGGGTACTAAAGGCATACATAAATGACAATTTGGAGCAAAGAGGTAGAGAATTAAGGTATTGAACTGGCTAGAAACTCTCTTAAAAATGAAAGCACGGCTAAAGAGCAGGGAGGTTGCGAGCCAAACCCCCGATGGCTCGGGCTGGGGGACGCACAAAGGGACTGCAAAGCCATTCTTCTCTCAGGCCAGCCCTTGATCAACTGCAATGAGTATGCCATGGGAAAGGGAGATTTTGGGGGCTCACAGGAAGATGGGAACCAGCTCTCAGTCCTCGCTGTGCCGTCCAGATCCTGTGTAACACCATCAGCTCCTATCAGCAGCAAACCCCATAAAGAGCAACCAGCACTTACTAGCAACAGCAGACAGGTGTCTGGGGACTGCAATTTGTCCCCTTGGACCACCCAGTCCGTATGATAGGCATTGCCAGTGCATCCTCTGGTTTGTAGCCGAGCCTCAGTCTTCCCTCTCTCATGCATTTGTCTCCTTTTGGAGCATCCCAGCATCATTGGGGTTCCCATCTTCCCCCTCAGGGACTTTATCCACTGTTGCATTCCCAGGAAGGCATCCTCCAAGCAGCTTTGCCTCCTGTTATGTCCTCAACTCAAACCACCCCTGGACCAAAACGAGACAAGGCAGGGGGAGGGCAGCGAAGAGGAGTGGGGCAAGGAGCCGAGCTTGCACGGACAGGTCACGTGCACAACTGAAGGTGCTTGTTCCACATGTAGGTAGGTGTGTTAGTGAGAAGTCCCCTAGAAGGCACACAGATTTGCACCATGTTTTAAGACAACATTTTGCTCTGTCCCTGCGGGTCACCTGCCTGGTGACTTTGAGCCGGCAGGCTGGCGATGGCACTGGACTCAGGCTCTTCACAGCAGAAACATGGGTTTATCGTGACATATGTGCACCCAAAAACCCACAGTACACCCTAGCATGACACCTTCATGTAGACTTGGGAGGTGGCTGCAGCCACAACAGAGCACATGTGAGAGGAAGTTAGAAGCAAGGGCACCGCAGCCCTGGGGACTTTTTTCTTTGTATGAAACTGTGTTTGCTGCTCACGTGTTGAGATGTGCCAGGCATCCTAGACCATGTTATTCTCCTTTCTTCTTTGCTCACCTCTCCTTCCTGCCATCTCTTAGCATGCTACATCTTCACTTAGCCCCTGGTCCTCCAGTTGCATCCATGAGCACAGACCCCTGCATCCGGGCACCACCCCAAACCCTGCAGCAGACCTACCCCTAGCATCATATCCGCACTAGCAGGTGTAATGTGGGGTTGGGCACCTAGCTTCTACACTTGTGCAGTAGGGACCAGGAGGGAGATTTCCAAAGAAGCAATAGTCAAGTCAGGGTCTAATTCTCCTCGGCATTCAGTGACGGGCAGATGTCTTATTTGTGCATTCAAAATCCCCATTGTCTTCTATCCTTCAGTAAAATGCCAGGCACTTGTATAAACACACACATACAAGAATTGCTGAGAGATCTTTGAATGTGCTTTTGAGGATCTAAGGTGAAATTTTTTGTGGTTGAATCTGCTGTTCGCAGCTGATCTTATGCCCGCAATATAGTCTGTGCTGGCCAGCGTGGCATGACTCTGACCCATGCCAGCAGTTTGGACATCCTGTAGTGAGAAAAAGGATATCCAAACTGCTGGCATGGGTCAGAGTCACGCCACACCGCAGTTGGGGATGAATTCAAGTGCCGCAGCAATAAACCTCCCTGTCGCTTGCACAGGCACAATGCAGCACATTGGGATTGGGATTGGCATTTAGCTGCCAGGTGCATTGACTAATTCTGTCCATTTGACAGGAGAAATCTCCGTAACGTCTTTTATCTTGGGAAAGAAATGTCTGCCTACGAGTCTCTGGGACAAACAGAGTGGGTAAGTGTCAGGAACAGGCACGCCCAGGAGGTCCTGGAGCTTGGCTGTTCCCTTTTGCCCCATCACCTAGTGGTTAGAGCATGTGTCCAGGATTGGGACCACCACAACTAACAGAGAGACCATTTCACATGCACCCCCATGCCAGGAAAGTGCCCTCCCCACCAGCCAACAGGCTCGTCGGGGTGAGGATTGCCTCCCCTGCTCTGCTGGAGCTGAACTATTGGGTGGGCAGGAGCATAAGGTGTCTGTCGCCAGAAGCAGCCAGCCCCTTGCAGGGCCCTGCTGCCAGGTGAGGAAAAAGCCACACAGCCATGCACCCACGTTCACCTGGGAAGCCGTTCAGCTCATTTGCAGGCCCTCTGGCAATGCAGGGGTGGTGGAGGCACTGGATCCCCGGTGAAAGGACGGAGACAGCAGGAAAGGTGTTATAGCCCGGTGGGAAGGAAGACGTGGGTCGTGCATGGTTTTGCCTTCCTTTATCCAAGAGGCTGGATCTTTCTCCTGGATCTCTCCAGTACATTATAACAGACTCCTTTCTGGCCTCACAATGGCAGGACACTGCTAGTGCCCTCGTTCCCCTGCGTCACCTGGGGCTCATTAAAGGGTGTTTGTGATATGTTGGGTGTTGGTAGCCGCGTGCGTGGGCTGTTCGTGCAGGTTTCAGACATCTCCGATAAGAACTTGTCGAGCACGGTTTAGAGCAGGAAGGGGCTGCCCTGAGCAGGCGGCTGGATTAGATGTGACCTCCTGAGGTCCTTTCTCGTGCAGGTTTCCTCTGATTTTGCATGCACAATGGGAGACATCCCATCTGCATGTACAAAACACAGCTCAGCCAGGCTTATGCAGCTGTAGCAGGTGCCTCTGTAGCAAACTGGAGGTCAGTCCATGTCCTGGTGCAAAAGGTGTGTGAAAACACTAGGGAAGAGCACACCGGGCAGGACCTAACAAGGTTAGCAGCAGCCGTGCTGCACAGTGATGGGTTGTATCGCTCTCCTTTGAAGGCCATGAGACTGCTCGGTTTCTAAATCCACCAGCAGTTCATTGCACAGGCCACATTTGCTCTGAAGCAACCAGGCTTAGGCCAGAAGAGAGGATCACCCCGATTGCATCTAGATAGATGACTTTGCGGCGTGATAACAAACTGTCACTTTATTATCTGTATTGCAGTAGTCAGGATCGGGGCCTCACTGTGCGGGGCGCACACACATAACAGGAGACAAGCCCTGCACCAAAGAGCCTGAGATAATTAAAGGCACAAGGCAACAAGTGAGTGACACACGGTGGGAGGGAAGGGGCAGAAGGGACGACGGTGACAACCGTGCCATCGTGTCCCCAGACAGCCCAGTGAGACGTGGCTCAGAGCTTCCTCTTAAACAAAGATGTGCCTAAGTAGCACAGCACGCCCCAGCGATCCCTGTCCAAAATGAGTCTGTCGTTGTGTACTCTAAGCATCAAGGACACGAATAACACTGTTTATTTCCTATATTTCAGGGCAAGATGGAAGGGAAGAAACCCAGAGCAGAAGAAGGGACTTTCAGCGGTAAGACAGGCACCTGAAGCACCACATTATCACTGCTGTATTTTGCTCACCTGGAGGAGGGATGGTCTGGCCAGGTTTAGAGTTTGAATGCCCCGTGTCTGCAAAAAAAACCCCAGCTCCCATACAGCATGAGGACGCAACGGTGGCATTGCAACAGCTGGCATCTGTATCCCTCGATACCCATGCAGTTGTCACATCTGCCTGTTCCAGTGATTCAAAACCAGGGACATGCAGTCTGTGGGGGTGCCAGGAGATCCTTCTGGGGTGCCCCAGGGTCCCACACAATAGCAGCACTGTGAGGTGTTCACACACCTGCACACGCTTCCCATGGTGAACCCAGAGCCTGCGAACGGGAATCCACAGGGCCAAACACCTCCTGCCCTGCTCTGGTTCTCCTGAGCTCTTTGCAACAGAAGACTTGCTCTAGTCATTTTGGGGGTAATTCAGACTTGTATAGCAATCCCGCTCATCGCTCCTGCCTGTGCCGAGAGGTTGTGACCATCAAGCTTGTTCCCATCCCTCAGGTGCCCACAGCAGCTCCGAGCTGAGAATCATCCTCGTTGGCAAAAGCGGCTCTGGGAAAAGTGCGACTGGAAACACCCTCCTTGGGACGAACCAGTTCAGGTCCCAACTTGGGGCAAAGGCAACAACCACCATGTGTGAAAAAGGGCAAGGTGAGCACAGCGGACAGGGAATCGTGGTGATCGACACCCCGGACATGTTCAACCCCCGCGCCTGCAATGCAGAAACCTACCGAGAAGTCAGGCGCTGCATCGCGCTCTCTCATCCGGGCCCCCACGCGGTGCTGCTGGTGACCCAGCTGGGCCGTTACACTGAGGAGGACAAGGAGGCCGTGAAGTGTGTCCAGGATGTGTTTGGGATGGAGGTCCTGAGGCACACGATCATCTTATTCACCCGGAAAGAAGACTTGGGGGGTGACAACCTGAGGGACTATGTGAGATACACAAAGAACAAAGACCTCCAGGCCCTGATCCATACATGCGGAGAGCGATACTGCGCCTTCAACAACAAAGCGACCAAGGAAGAACGGGACAAGCAGGTCGCTGAGCTGATGGTCAAGATCCAGAGGTTGGTCCAGGAGACTACAGATGGCTATTATTTCAACGAGATGTATCTGGAGCCCAATTTAACTGAAGAGAGCGTGAGATACCACATGAGAAGATATAGGACAGTCAGGGAACGGGCTAAGCAACGCATCTCTAAAAAATGTGTGGGGATCCTTTTGGCCACCGTGGTTGGCTTTCTTATTTTTGTCATTTTCCTTGTTTTAATCTGTAGACATTAATCGTGTGTCATCTCAGTTGTCCAGCCAGCATCGCCCCATCGTTACTATTGTTAATCGTGTTTATTGTGCTAATGCTTCAGAGCCAACCAAACAGATGCCCGCTGTGCCTCCTCAATGTAACACCTTTGTACCAAACACAATTACGGTAATAAAATATACTGCAGAACGGCTGAACTTTTCTGGGCCAGGTCCTCCCCTCCCTTCAGCTGGGTTTACAAAAGTTATATCTCCTTTGCAGAAAAGGAGGCTGCAGAGGGGTGGAGGGTGAGGTGATAGCAGATCTCCCCGGGTCTAAAGGCAGCCGCAGTGATGAGGGGGAACAGCCGCTGTCCCTTGCCACAGAGGGCAGGCATGAGAGGGGGCTTGGTCAACAGCACAGGGAATTTTCTATGATTTTCTGTGAATTCAGATGAAGTCTTAGGAAAAAAATCCCATGTGTGTCAGAGCAGCAGCACAGTGGCACGAGCTGCTTGGGGAGCTGTGGAGGGTCCAAGGAGAGGCTGGACGGGCACCAGTCTGGACTGGGTTCGGAGCGGGGTCCGTGCGTTTCTCCAGGGATTTGAACTGGGTGACCCTAACCATCCGGGGTCTTCAGTGACTTAAACAGAGTAATGCAGAGTCAATAGCAACGTCAGTCGGGCTGTGTAGTAATGCATCTTCATTCGCTTCTGGGCAGTACTCCGGATTTACAGCCAGGTGGCAGAAAGCAGAATTTGACCCTTTGTAGAGAGCTGTGCAATCTCTTCACTCATCCCCTCACTTCACAACAGCTCTGCAACACCAAACACAGCCTCACTCACTAACAAAAAGACCCCGACACTGCCAAGCCCCCACCCAGGGGAGCTCCATGGACCTCACTGGGAACTAATGGGACCCTTGGCACATGGCTCCTTTTGATCGGCCGATGTAGGAGTTTTGGTCTGGCTAGGCTGTGGTCATGCTAGGCTGTAGTAAAGCGAAGGCAATGCAAAGGACCATGGGAGGTGCAGGCTTCATTGACCGCTACATGTCCTGATAAAAAATGCAGTGAGCAAAAACACACTGATTCACAGCAAGAAACCGGAGCTGAGCAACTTGAGGAGTCATCAGCCAGGAGCATGCTTTCCTCTCCTCTATGTCTCTTGTCTGTAGAGCTTGGTCCATCATCTGCTGGTCCTTTATCAGCTGCTTCCTGCAGCCCTTTCCACGGGAAACACAAATAACTGCTGCCCCGGTGTTTGCACGGGCTCGGCATCACTAAGGAGTGGCGGTGCTCCTGTCACTAGTCACAGAACGGTACTAGCTGTGAGGCTGCAAAACCCACCTCGCTCTCCCAACCCTCCTTTCCGCCCCAGTACTCCAGTAACCATTTCCTCAGCTCCAACAGGCCACCAGCACAGCAAAGGCCAGTCTGTGGGACGCAGAGTCCTGGGCAGAGGCAGCCCATGCTAGCTGCCACGGTGGTCTGGTGACACGGGCACCTGGTCCACCCAGAGCAGCGGTTCAATCTGCCACCACGTGCACGTGGTCTTGCGGGTCGAGGAGGAACATGGGAGCATTGCAGGGTGCAAGCCCAGATTCCCCCTGACCTGCGGTCTCTGGCCACCTCTTCCCTGCCATCAATGCTGGGGATAACTGAGGACACAGGGAGCCGTGGCCAGGCCCAGCCGGGAGCGCTGCACCGGGTTGCATGGAGCAGCGCGTGTGCTGGCACTCTCAGGTCAGTCCACCCCCACACCCAGACCATGCACACTCACCCGATGGGCTTGGCTCTTTCTCAACCTGATTTTATTGATGTGGCTTTGCAAAGCGCGGAGGATTAGCCTCGAGCACCAGACAGCAGCAAGTCTGGTCCCCGGGCCCCGGCACGGCTGTGCCCTCCTGCCTGCTGCGGTGAGGAACAAGGCAGGGGGGAGGCTGGCAGGACTCAGACAAAGATATTTGCTTCTGCTCCATCTCATGCCAGGAAACCAGGGCACGTCTGGAAGGGAATCTGGTTTCCTTTTTAACTGAGCTCCGAAGCTCAGCAGGTAGGGGAAGGCTCCTGTTTGGGCTGCTCCCTAGCTGCCCCGTGGGAGACCCAGAGGCCTCGGTGGCAGGGCAGGAAGGGCAGTGATTAATGTTTGCTCGACCCCTGGCCCTCCTTCTCATCGGGGGCAGCCGGGGGGCTTCGCAGCATGAGGTTGGAGTAGCAGCCAGCGCAGTAGCTTGCCACTTTCTCCCGCGCCTTGGCCTTGCGCTTCCCCGCTGCAGGCCACCGGTCCTCCTTCCTGGCCCTGGCGCTCAGCAGCCCCTCTGCAGAGGTCTCTGCCTGCAGGGAGATGGAGAGGGGTGAGCTGTGGGGCCGTGGCACCTGCCCCTCACTGCATGCTGGGGCAGGATGGGGCGGGCAACAGCCTACAGCATTGGGACGTGGCACTTGGTGGGGAGGAAGCGGGTAGAGGCAGGTGGCAGGCACGTGAGCCTGGAGCCAGGCACTCTTGGCTTCTCACCTGGGCTCTACAGCATGACCTGTAACTCCTCCGTGCCTCAGTTTCCCCAGATGTCTCCCCACCCTTCCCAGAAACGGGCTCAGTGGCTATTCTTGGACAGTCTTAACCCTAAAAAGCTCTAACCAGCGCCATGTTTACACTGCTACCTAGGGTTAGCCTCAAGCCCAGCGGCAATGCAAACCTGAAAGCTGAATCTCTGGCTGTGGTCCATCCCGGCCCCCTAAATCTGCCGTGAGCTTGCGACTCACCAGGAGCTGGTGGCAAGGTGTCTGGCAACAGCCACCTCCCAGCTCCCTGTTCCCAGGTCCAGCCCGTCTGCACCACCCTTCCTCCTCGGCGGCCACAATGGCACGTGTGCGAGTCTCACTAATAGCAGAGGGTCACGGCCAGCTGTGAGCTAAGGAGCTGCTCCTAGTGATGCCATCAGTGTGGCCTAGTGATGCTCCTGGTGCAGGAGGATGATGTGGGGAGGAAGACAACTGTGCCCCACTGGGAAGTGGAGGGGGAGCCAGCATGAGTGGGGCAGGAACTGGTGGGGCAGGAGGGCTATGGTGGAGGGCAGGGGCTGGCTGGCTATCAGTGGGGGGGAGGGAGTCAGGATATGGGCAAGCACGGAGCCAACTCCTGTCCCCTTCCAGCATTTCCCTTGAGTCTGTCCTCAGTCCCTCTCCCCGGGCCCGTTCTCCGGCTGCCCGGCCGGGCTTGCCAAGAGCAGCCAGTGCATCAGGTCTTTTCTGATGCCCTCAATAAGGGACGGGGTTTCTTTGCCCGCTGGTTATTCTGCGGCTTGAGCTCCCACCCGCCTTGCCTCTCACCGTACCGAGCCTCTCACGGAGGATTCGGGTTTTCTCGTGGGTCTGGGTCGCTGAGACGTCTGCACATCTCTCCTCTGGCGCTGGTCCTACAGGGAGAGAGAGACGCGCTGTGACCTGGGCTGGTCACATACTTTCCCTGCAAGAGAAGGATTTTCTGATATTGGCCACGTCTCCACAGACCCTCACCCGATCCTTGAGTCGTGTTGTGACAGCCCTGAGCCCCCTCACAGAGCGCCGGTGGGTCACTTAGGAGGCGGCTCTTTCATTTTGCCTCATGAGAGCCCTAAAATCCTAGAAAACCAGAGCTGGAAGAGGCCAATAGAGGCCATTCAGTCCAGCTCACCTGCTGCTCAGGACAGGATTATCCCTGTCCACCCATCCCAGGCAGCGATGGAGACTACATCTACGACCTCTCTCGGTGTCTGGCCCAGTGCTGAACCACCCTCCGAGTGAGAAAGCTCTTCCCATCTCTAACCAAAACCTTCCCTTGTTGACAAGTTAGCCCACTATTTCTTGTGACCCCTGTGGACACCTTCCTTGTATTGTCTGCCTCATCTCCCTTTCCGAACAGAACAGGTTTGGGTGGGGGGCATGTCGTATGGGTTTTCTAGTCCTCCCCATAGGAGAAATCCCTCGTCGTAAGTGAGAAACACCCAGAGCTTTCTGGTGGAGACGTGAAGGATCCTGTAAGGGTATTCATTGACTCCTCTGCTCCCATAAACAGCAGGACTCGTTGTGCCCTGTGCTAATTATTAACCTTGGCTTCATGTGGGTCAATATTGACAGTGCATTGCCAGTCAATACGTTCTGAAGGTCACCTCTGCTGAAGTCCCGGGGCAGATTCAGGTGCGAGTCACCAAGGTGCAAGCTGAGAAACTCTGCCACATGCTGCAGAGCGGCAGTGGGGTCCCCAAAGCAGCTTTTGTGCAGAGGCATGGGTGCAGGGGTGGCTGTCACATAGACAACCGGTCCTGGCATGCAGTGCTCTATCTATCCCATTGCCGCGACCAGGCAGTATGGTTAGGAACCCCTGGAGAGTCTCCAGCTGTCGTGGGGTGACCCTGGGGGTGACACTCACCCCACGCCGGGCCTCTGCATGTCCCCACCCCGCATCTTACCTTGGGGGTGCTCAGGGGGCCGTAGCAGCCGGAGCAGGGGACATGGGATCCGAGACCGGTTGGCTTTGCCCTCGTCACCTCCCTCCTGACTTTCAACGGGAGGTTGCGCTTCTGTGGAAGGAGAGCAGCGGAGCTGGGCCTCGGTCACGCGGCTCACGTCCTGCCTGCGAGGAGCCCTTGATGGGGGACCCACCTCTCCCCGGGTGCCCTGCAGCCTCGCACCCAGACCCAAAGCGTCCTGCTGGGTCGTCTCCAGGGTGCTGGCAGGTGAGACGTACCACACTCGTGCAGCACAGAGAACAGGGTGGAGGAGGGGGGTCCTATAGCGGGGCTGTAAGGCCCTATGGGAGCCAGCAGCAAGTGCAGCCCCCAAGCCCCCAGCATAGACGCGTGAGTGTTTCCTCCGAGTGTCTCTGACGTGCCCCTAGCCAGTGTCCACTCTCTTGCCTGCGCAGCCCCAGGCTGGGGTGCTCAGGGGGTGCCCGCGCCCTTCCTGCCGAGACACCCACCCTCCCAGGAGCACCCCTTCCCCTCTCCCTGCATCGCTGACCCAGCTTCCCCAGGGCTCCGGGTGCGTGTGCTCCCTCTGCACCCGATCACGCAGGGAAGGGGCTTCGCTGCTCTGTTCTGGAGTCACGGCCCCCTCCTCCCGCCCCAGCACCAGCTGTACCTGGAGGCACTCGGCAGGTTTCAAGCTGAACATATGCGTGGAGCCGGGCCTGAATGGCTTTCTGGTGGGTTTGGGTTTCCAACTCTCATCGAGTCCCCTCCTCTGTCTATGTAGTTCCCCCTGAAGCTCCAGAAAGAAACAATTAGAGACCTTGCTCCACCCGGTGACACTAGGGCTCAGGGGTGAGGGTTGGGTGCTTGGAGAGCGGTGGGTTCATGAAGTCTGTTTGTGCATCAGTAGTGACACCTCTCTCCTCTGGCTAAACCCCTACACAGGGTTAATTATCAGTGAATCCAAGTCAGAATAGCAGGTTTTGAGACTCCAGAGGTTTCTGCTGCAGTCTGATGTGATTTAATACATTTATTAGTGACCTGGGTGCCAGAAGAGAGGGCTTCCCAATCTAGTTTGCAGATGGCACAAGGTTGGGAAGGACTGAAAAAATGATCCAGGTGTTGGAAGGCAGTTGTACGAGGAGAGCTTACGAAAACTGGGCACGATGAGCTTGCAGAAAAGGTCATTTTTCTGCAATAGGGCAGGGAGTGTGACAGAAATCTTTGCATATCTGGATGACTACCCTAAAGAAGAGGGAGAATAACTGTTGGCCTTTGCTGCAGAAGGCAGGATGTGAAACAGTGGCTTCGAACTGCAGCAGTGTAGATTTAGGGGAAAATGCCTTGCTGTTTGGGTCTCTGCAGGCTTTCAGGAGGTGGCTGCGCATGCTTTGAACAGGATAGGGTAGCAGTAGCTTTCATGCAAGGTGGGAGCAGTGAGATGGCTTTTGGGGTCCCTTCCAAGCAGATGCTCCTATGAGAGGTTACGTTGTGGGGTGATGGCTATGGGGTGGGGCTGTCTCTGCTCTGTCCTTCTGCTATGCCAGCCTGGGCAGTACCAGGCTAAGAACTGGCAGCAGAAGGGTTTGAAGCACAGCTGACTCCCCCGTGCCCTTCCTCTCAAGACACCACCCCATCCCCTGTCCCGCTGCACGTGCTGTAGCTCCCAAGTGGGCCAGGCATTGGGCACTGCCACTCTCTCTGCACCCAGCACGCAGGGAAGGGGCTTCAACGCATGCTTATTCTGGCACTTGCCATTTCCTCCCGCTCACCTCCTGCTGTGTGTTGAGGGGCTTAGTAGTCTTCTGAATGAAAGGGGTAAAGCGGCCATGACTGCTCGTCCTATTAGTGGATACAGCTGCATAGAGCGTCCTCCTCTTTCGGACCGTGGCCTCTGAATCCTGCAGATGGAGACCATTGGAGACTGGACAGTCACCTCACTGGGGTGGCTTGACCCCACTTGTCTTCCTGCCTAGCGCGGAGGGGCTGGACCCGATGATCTGCGAGGTCCCTTCCAGCCCCTAATAAACTATGAAACTATAAAACTGGAGACCCGTCTCGGTGCGGTCACAGGGTAACTGTGGGTGCAGGAGCAGCAGGGCTCTGGGGTGGGCTCATGGGGTGACCTTGAGCATCAGTGATAACACATCTCAGCCCTGCTCCCCTCCCATGCACCCTGTCCCGGCAGGAGCCCCCGCGCCCTCTCTGGGAGCACAGGCTCTGGCTGCACTGCAGGCTCAGACTGGAAGGCCGCTGGCCCCTCGGCTCTCCCTGCACGTTTCAGGTACAGAACAAGGTTTGCTGCCTGGTTGCTCATCTGGAGCTCACGGCTTTCTGTGCACCTGCTGTGCTGTACCTGGGGGTCCTCGGGGACTGGGGAAAGATCCTTGCTATAGAGGGAGTGACAAGAACCAACCGACCCCAATTCCTTGGGTTGTGGGCTGGGTCCGCACCATCCTTGCCTTTCCCTCCTGGCTGGCTGCTGAGCCTCTGGCCCCTGCAAAGGACGAGGGGTGCAGGCTGCTGCAGGGCAGATCCCTATGGCACCTCAGGGTCCCGAGGACAGCAAAGGGCACCTGGGAGTGGGGAGAGCTGGGGTGTAAGGACACCGTGGTGGGGTGGCTCTACATCGGCATCTACTTGTGGCATCTGTGCTGCAGTCTGCAATCCAGCCCCTGGTTTTAGGTCTGTGTGAGACCCACCATGTAGCTGAAAGCTAGTGCAGCTGCTGTGCAAAGATAGCAAAGGGAGGCCTCACACTTCCCAAAGGAGGCACAACAGTCCAGGAGAGCCCTGATCTCGACAACAGGTCTGACCCGGACGGAAACCCCTGTAGGGAGGAGACTCCAGGAGGAATTCTCCGGTGCCTCTGAGCCTACCTTCACTAGTATTTATTTGCTTTGTATGTATTTCATTCCTATGCCGCCCTTCCCAACCAGGGCTTAGGGCGGCTTGCAATAAGAAAAGAGAGATCACTTACAAACAAGAGAGTGACAACAGAGCAAAACAACTGGAAAAGGAGCTAAAACATCCAGATAAGCAGAGACAGCCTGAACAACAGCTCATCCTAATTGTTTTGGTCAATGCCTGCCCACATAGGAAGTCCTTGTAGCATTTCTGAAAGTCATCCCAGCTCGGGTTCTGGCCAAGGACGTCCCAGAGCAGAGGGGCGACTGCAGAGAGGAGCCTCCCCTGTGTTTGCATCAAGCAAAAAATGATGCAATGAAGGGACGTGCCCGACCCAGGCGTGTGCAGCAGGGGAGCAAGCCTCTACCTGGGGAGTCCGCGATAACCCAGATGGAGCCTGGGCTGAGCCTGTCATGGGCCACTTCTGCCCTCTCCCGGTCCCTGCAGCTTAGGGCTGGAGAAGCCCAGTGGGGGCTTCGGGGGGGTTTCACAAATAGGCTGGGCAGATATCTGTCTGGGGTGGTTTAGGGCTGGGACTAGAGGGCCCTCAGCATCCTTTCCAACCTCAGGGTCTAGGCTTATCTAAGCAAAGCCACCCTGAGCCTGGTCCGAGTCCTGTGGGAGCTCTGCACAAGGATGGCTTGTGAAGGGCTCGCCGCTTAGGATGAAGCTTGGGGATGGCTGTCTCCTTGCCAGGCTGTTTCATTCTTACTCAGGTTTGCACTGGCACCAGTTCGGTGGTTGTGTGTTGTTCACTTGCACCTCAAGTCTCCCAGTTCCCAGACCCACATCTAGAGTATCCAGCTTCTTTCTCTAAAGCCCCTGCTATACATTACATATCTCACGCTATTAACTAGTGAACCGCGCACTAAAGTTAGACTGGCCACATCTGCAAATGAATTATCACAGGATACAAATGACTCTCCAGCTATAAAAAGAGCCAACCCGCTATAATGTTAGTGCTTGAAAATGTGTAACAACTCTCTAGCTGGTTTCTATCCAGCTTTCATCTGAAGGTGTAGCCGGGCCCTAATCATTTGACGGTCGACCCCATCTGAGGTGCACCCAGCACGTGGCTGCCTGCTCCATCCTCTACTCACCGGTCTCAGAATAGAAAAGCAGCCAGAACAGGGCCTTCTGGGTTTGTGTTTTTCCGTGCTGCTGAGGCCCAGCTGTGAACGTTGACCCTGGGGATAGAAAGAATTTGGCATGAGGGACGGGCCTCACCGTTATCACCAGAGACCAGCGTGAGCTCGTTAGTGCAGGGCGTTTGTCAGCCGTGAGCCTCTTGTCTGCAGACGAGATAAGACCGCCAAATGCTAAGGGGGTTGGGGAGCCTGCAGGGCTCGTCTTTGATTGTCCGGGTGGCGTGGGAGGTCAGGACAGTGTCCGAGGACTGTGCGCAGTGCCGGAGCAGGGGGATGAGACAGCGCTGAAACGGGGCTGGGGTGTTACTTTGCAAAACTGTCCAGGAGCTAAAGCGTGCCTGATCTCAGGACAGCAACAGGGGCAGGGTCCTGCAGGCCAGGACAGAGGTGTGTCAGCAGCAAACAAAACCTGCCAAGTGCAAACAGCTAAAGCCCCTTGGGGTGTGAGAAGGGGCTTGACCCCACTGCCTCCTCCCAAAGGCAGCACTTGGCTGAGTCCATGAAGAAAGGTTTGCCTGTTGCACAAGTTTGGCAATAGACCCATGCCCTGCAAACACCCGGCCACTGCCAAGGGTCACACAAATCTGTGAGCAGAGCCTCCCAGCCCACCTGGGATGGCCCTGGGTGGGGACAGGGCAAGGCTGAGCTTCAGCCAATCGCTGGTGAAGCACTGGACGGCCCACGATCTGGAAACCCAGTCAGCACCACCCTCCCTCGCCCAGCACCTCCGTCCCTCTGCGGCCTGGGTGGACATGCCGGGCAGCTTGCAACCTGGGAAGCCACTCACATAACGGGGAGCGGGATGGGGCCAAGCTGCAGATAAGAGGGCACTGTTTTGGGAGGGGCAGGGGTACTATCAGGCAGCCTAGGGAGGGGTGGAGAGGCGCCTTGTTTCCAAACAGGGCACCAGACAGTCCTCCCACTCCCTCCACTCTTCCCATAATCCTCTCACTGGCTGCAAACGTCCCCTCCGCTAAGAAAAACTCTGCTAGGCGCCTTCTCCCTGGCACCAACCTGTCTCAAGGTCACGCAGAAGCTGGGGAGCAAGTTGGGTTTGGTGATCTCTCGTATTGGACCCACGCTGTAGTCGGGAGCTCAGTTGCCAGTGAAGCCGTGGGGGAATGGCAGGAGGTTTCAGGCAGGCTTCCACAGGTCAGGAGAGATTTTGGGCACAGTTGCAGGCACCAAATGCCCTTCCCCAGGGCTGGGACATAAGGCAGTACAGCCTCAGATCAATACCAGGTGACAAACTTGGGGATAACCCCACTGCAGCAGCGGAAGTGGTCGCTGGGACAGGGACAAGGGCAGCAAACCCGTAGAGCAGAGAGGTGTCAGCAGAAGCAGAAACAGGACAGCACCCAGGCCAAGACCTGCAACGGGGGTAGGGGGCACGTGCAGCACTAGCCAGCTGATATCAGAGTAACAGGGGCACAGGGCTGACGGCACAGGCGCACTCGCACAAACACTGCAAGGAGCAGCTGGGGCTTCACCTTTTCTTCGTATCAAAGCACCCTGCTCCCTGTGCCTGGTTCAGTATGGAAAGAGCACCCACCCTCCTCCCTCTCTCTGCCCCGTCTCCCCCTCCCCACCCACAAACCTCCTCCTTGACTTCACCAGGCGTCACCGGGGCATCCCTCCGATCGGTGTCAGCCACCACCACAAAGACCAATGCAGCCGCCAGCCCCCATAGCAGCCAGGGCCTCATCCTGCAGCGCTGGGGGTGCAGGGAGAGTGGGGGGTGATCGTGAAGAGGAGCTCAGGCTTCTCCTGCGGTCTCGCGGGCTGCTGTCCTGGGGAATGACGACACTGCTTGTGCACCGCAGACCCCTGCGCAGACCTTGACTGCTGGCGTTAGCCCCCGGACATCACCGCAGGGCACGCCTCGGACTGTGCCTCTCGTTACACATTGACCTCCCACTCCTGATATGTGGCCAGATAGTCTGGCCTGCTAGAGAGATACAGGAGAGCTCTGCCAGCAGGAGATCCAGGGGGATTAGACTGAAAACCTGGCTGCTGTTAGAGGGGGTCAGGAAGGGAAATGGAGGCACAGGGTCCTGGGAGCAGGTGAAGCAGGGAGCCCTGGGGATCCCCCACCGTCCGAGTGAAGTGCTCCCCTCTCCCTCGAGGTGCCTGCCCAGGCCTCTTCCTGCAGCAATGACACAAGGATTGCTGCACGGAGGCCGCCGAACCTAGCTCAGCGCACGTCTCAGCCCTGGGCGGCCGGGAGTCGAACCCACGAGGTGAGCCGCAGGCAAGGTCCTGGAGGGTGTTGAACCTTTATGAGATGCCCAGGTCACCTTTACAGGCTTTTCTCTACAGCCAGGCATCCTAGAAACAGTCTTTTAAAAAACAAATGAACACTGAGATCCCTTCCTATTCCTGTGGCTCTGGATCCTACAGCTTTAATGAAGTCAGGATAAAGTCACAAGAGTTAACAACAGTACATTTGTTGCCAGGTCCAAACCCACCTTCACGCCAACACGCACAAGGAATCTCATGATAAATGGTGATGAAGGTGGGCAATAAGTTCAATGGCACAAGCACAGAGACCTTGTGCAAGTCATTTCACTTCAGGAGAGGACCCGTCAGCTCTGCCATAGCCTGCTCGAGATCTGAGACCTGGAGTTTAAGCACGGGTCAGGTTTGACACGGGTTTGCAGCACTGCCGGGTTGAGTCTGCTCAGCAAGAAGAGCTTAGCAATTTTATACGCAGCAGGTCAGCTCAGTGCATTTCAGAAAAGCAATGATCGATTCCCTGAGCTCAGATGCGAGAAGTAACAGGGTTTGGTGATATTTTAGGTCATAAAATTTCCCCTTGAAAATTTTCAAAAGCAGGTTGGACAGACACTGGGCTGGGATGGGTTAGTCAAAATGATCCTGCTTCACTAGATGGTCTCATGACATCCCTTCCAGCACTATTCTCCTATGATCTTTTATTGGACAAACTGTATAGTTGGGGGAGAAATTAAACAAGTTGTCAGGCACAAAGTGCCCTTCCTCAGGTCTTGGAAAGAAGCTGGTACAGTCTAAGTTAAATACCAGATAAAGCAATGCCTTGTATTTAAGTTGATTATGTAAATGAAACTAGTACTTAAATAAGTGGCAAAGGACTGTAAAAACACAGAATAAAAAGAATATAACAGAAGTAGTTGTAAGGCAAGGGACAGATTTCAACTCTTATTAGTCCAATAAATATCACCAAAATACCTTTTTTCTCCCTTATTTCCTGGACCATCGTGGAGAGCTCTCTAACCCTGAGCTCACATGGCTTTTTCCACAGGTTTTTAATAGTCATTGGAAACATCTCCCTTGTGGGGGCTAAAGATTGGATGTCTTTCAAAATATCTGCCCAAAGTCCTTAGCTAGTGCAAGAATTAGTGCAGGAGGTTGCCTAGACTGCATTGTGGGGAGGTCAAGCTAGATTACCTTAGTGGACCCTTCTAGCCTTAAAAATGTATTAATTTCCCCCATTCGCACATACAGGGCCAACAGCTGATGATGCTTCAGGACATACAGCACTTCATATGATCGTATGGACTTAATGTCCTCCATGCAGGTGGTGCGGTTACAAAGGTAAAGTCTTTGCCCGTGAAGAACCGCAGCTGAGTTCAAACCAGACACAAGAGTGGCCGTATGTCGAAGGTGTCTGGTGCCTTAGTACAGTGTTTCCCAACCTTTCCCAGCCCAAGGCACGCTTACATTAATACAAATTGTCATGGCCCACCTGTTAAGGTGTTCCCCATCCTCACACCTATTGCCGCTCGTTGTAGCTCATTGCCATGGCAATACTCCAGGGCACACCTATTCACTTCTGATGGCACACTGGTTAGGAAACACCGCCCTAATGCATCTGGGCTTTGCACAATACAGAACCAGGGCTTTGTGTCATCAGCTGAGGACCCCTTTGGAGGATGAGACTGCCATGCTGGGCAGTCGACTTTCCTGTGCAGGGTGAAGCGGCTCTCACAAAGTTTTGTGTTGCTTTGTGTTTGTCTGTCTGCAGGAGATCACAGTGTGCCTCTATCCGGGCCAGTGAAAGGCACTCCGATTCAGCTCCACAACCCCTGCCACGCAGGCAGGGAAGTGTTGTTACCCACGTATTTCTGACAGGGAAAGTGCGAATGAAGCAGCTAAGTGACTCACCCAAGGCCAGAGGGCAAGTCAGAGGCAGACCTGGAAATCCACTTAAAAGGCCACATTGACATGGATTTAATCTGGTTTGCACCCATAACAAGGTCTCACATCACAGAATCACCAGACTCAGGATTCACCTTGCTTTGTTCATGCAGGTTTGTTCTCAAATGCCACTGTCCTTCCAATTAGGAGAAAGCTTGTTTGGGAGCCCAGGGATATCCCAGGGTCAATGACGCCCTGGGTGCCAAACTGTCTGTGAGAGGCTAGGCACAGACACGAGTACCAGACAGCTAGGCTACGGGACTGCACACAGTGAGGAAGTGCAGGACTGATCACAGGACAGGGCAGGAGGTCCTGGCACCCCGAGCCCAGCATCCTGCTACAGCAGGGAACTGCACCATAACATCTGTAGACCCTGACAACACCCATCATAAAGGCAAGTCAGTTGCTCAGCCCCTAGCTCAGGGTTTAAAGGGAGCACAGTACTGAAGTTGAGCATGCATTTCTTGCTCCTGAGCTGTCTCCCTTCCCTGCAGGTCCCCCCTGCCCCATTACACTTCCTGCCGGGGTCACTGATGAGCCTCTCTTTTCTGTGAGTTCAGCTATACCTCCCTGCTGCTCAATCCCCTGCAAGGACCTCAGACATGGCTCGCCAGCCCCACCTGCTGCCGCTCTAACCAAAAGGAAGTATCGGCTCTTTGCAAGAAAATAGGCCTGCACCAAATGGAGTTGACTATTTAGATGGGTCTCAGCTGGCTCAGCAGCACCATGGTCCTGATCCAGAGCCCACTGACATCAAGGGAAGTGATTCTTCAGTGCTATGGAGGAGCACCGGTGAGGCCTCACTGTTGGCTACAAATGTCCAGCTCGGGATCCTTAAAATTCTGGTTTATTAGGCGGATTGAAACACTGTAATGAGTTAAATCGTAAACCTTGAGGCTGGTCCCCCCACCCCACACACACACACACACACAGTAGCAGGCTATAGAGTCAGGTATACCTATCCTACAAGCGCTGGAGTCTGTCGTTGAGGCTTCTTCCGGCGTGGTGTTATCCTCCAGAAGGGGGTCGCCGGCTGGTCCTTCTGGCTGGACAGGTCTGGTCGAGTTGGAGATCAAGAGGGCGCCACTGAGGGTCACTTTTCACTGCCTTTTATCTGTCCTTGGCAGACTTTGGTGACTCCCCAGTTTTCAGGTTTGCCCAATCCAGGGGTCGTTGACCCTCGTGGGACTTCCCCCCTCGGTGGCTACTGGACAGCATCTGTCAGCCCCAGGGGTCGTCCGCATGTACGTGCAGGTTTGGGAGTCCGTTGATGAATTTTGAATAGGGCTCTGGGAGCGGTTGATCTGGAGATATTCAGCCCAAAAGTTGGTCTCTGGCATTGATGAACTGAGGCCAGGGCTTCTAGCCCTTGATCAGTGACGTTTAGAGATTTCCCGGTTGTTACATTGTCTCCTATTGAGTTCTTCCATTGGTTGATCTGCAGTTTCCAGGTGTTAATTGCTGTCTGCTGCTACTGTGTTACACATTCAATCACTGATTCGCTCCTCTTTCAGGGGCCCGCCTGATACAGGGAAGAGTGGTTTGATTCCTGCCCTTGTTAACATTGTTACAATGTATAACTTACTTCTGAAACTAAACACATTCAGTTGAAAGCTGAAAGGTGAGGAGTATAAAATATAAGCTACAAATGCCATGGCACACAAATAGATAAAAATACCAAACTACAAGGGGAGATACAAAATGCGCACACACAAATTTTAAAACACAATTCTTTATCTTAAAGTGAAAGAGAGAGGAAGGAAGAAAAGGTAAAAAAAGAGAAACATATCCAAAGAGGGGAGAGCAAATGCAGGCAAGAGGAAAAGGGGGCTTTCTGCTACAATCACCTGGAGTACTCTGTCCGATTCGGGGCACCATCATTCACAAAGATGTAGGCAAAGTGAAAAGAATCCAGCATAAAGGGACAAAAATGATTAGAGGTTTTGGAAACACGACTTACAAAGAAAGGCAGAAAGAATTAGAGTTATTCAGTGTGGAGAAGAGAAGACGGAGGTGGGGAGTACCGCGACCAGTTTGGGGCACCATATGTCAGGAAAGATGTGGCCCAACGAGGGAAAGCCCAGCAGAGAAAAAGACAAGCAAACAGACCTAGAAAACATGACCTATGAAGAAAGACTGGATGCACAGTGTTTGTTTGATCTAGAGGAGCCAAGATATCATCATTCTTCAAAGGGGTAAAATTACTATATAGGGGAAGATTATAAATTATTCTGCATGACCACTGCAGATAGGACACAAAGTAAAAGGTTCAAATTGCAGCAATATGCACTGTCCAGTGTGGTTTCAGTACAGATGAACCCACTTTAGGATTACATGACTTCTTGAGCTCTCTTCCAGCCCTGCTTTCTATGATCTGGGGGGGGGACAGATCTAGGACATAAATGTCAAATAAAGTAAAGCAAAGCAATTGTTCGCTGGTGCCGATTTCTTCCAACATCATCTTTTAATGGGCAGTCAGACAAATAACGAGCTAAGCAACTTGACAGCACAGCTCCAACCTACCATGCAGCTCTGGGTAAAACAGACACGTGGCAGTATCATTCCAGCATCTGTATAACACAGAAAAGCACACACCTGCTCTAACTGGTCCAGGTTTGT